AAAAAAAAAAATCTTCTAGTAAAAGTTGAGAGCCCCTCCATTCCATCCCTAGTGTTTTACAATGCACTGTCTTTACTAGAAAATACCAAACTTTATTACCATCTAAGGGTAGTTTTTATACAGCTAGAGGTATGTTGCGTACAACTAATTGAGCACTAAAGTCAAATTAAATTCTCAGTCATACAAAGTGATATAGTCACATGATCGGTAGCCTCCGATTCAACCTCCTCAACCAAACTGAATGCATCACCATATGCATCAAGTCGAACCTCTTCGCCGGCCGGTTCAACAGGAAATGCCGTTGCACTTGAAGAACCCGCCGTTGTTTCATCAAATACTCTTCCTCGGAAATTCCTTGCAATATTGATTTTATCTTCGGAATCCTCGCAACCGGTATATGAACCGAAAATTGGCTCCAATCCAACACATCACTGAACGGCAGCACATAGTGATCGGCGACTATCACCGGCACACAGCCGGCGTATATGGACTCCACCAACCTTGGACTGGCCACTTCCCACCCGCTAGGACACAAACAGAACTTACTTTGACCCATTAATTGGGTGTAATTTAGTGCTTTGGGGAGGTACTCGTACACGAGGACATCATCATCTTTTCCTTTCCAGTATTGGAATAGCATCCGCCTAACGTCCCCATGAGCGCCACCGGAGAAGAAAGCGAGCACGGAGCGGTTGTTAGGTGGTTGGCCGAGGCCGGGTGATCCGAGTTGCCCATATCTGAGGAAAATTTCCGGTATCGAAACGTCTCTAGCCGGTTGAAATCCCTCAGAGGAGTTGGCGTTGCAGAGAACTCTGATGAAGTTCTTGAAAAGCTCGGGATCAGCAGCCGAGACATCTGGTGCCTGAAGATTAAAAAATACATATAAATCAACGACAAGATATAATATTAAATAAATAAATGAACAGAAGTTAATATACACTTTAATTTAATATATTACATAATATATATAGTTATTAAAAATTATTATTTTTTAATTTAAAATTATAAACATATAAATTTAAAAATACAAATATACACATAATATATTTATATTATATTTTTAATTATTAAATCAAAAATATGTAAAAAAAAATATGTTAAACTGAAATTGTACGGATCTTTTTTTTAAATAAATCCATATCAATTTACGGACTTATGTTACTTGATATTATAAACATAATATACATGTTTGTTACAACATCATGAATTGTAAGTTCTAACATATTAATAATTTGTTTCAATATAAGTAAATACATAATAATTCATGAAGTGTATGTCGTTATAAGTACATAGAATTTTGCTTTCACAAGATGGCAAATATTGAGAATGCTGAATAAATGGCATACCCAATCATGGCAGGAGACGAGAAAATGGTCGGCACCAGAGCTTCTGTTCCAAAAAGGGTACCTACTGGAGATGAGTGTGATGTAGTCCTTAACGATGTTCTGAAGGCGGTCACGAGAGAAATTTGTGTAAGGACGGTACACAAAGTGGACTATGTTGACAATGCTAATCGGAAGGAAGAAGACGAGGGCCTCATCAGGGTGGCGAGCCAAGAATGGGCTGTCACCACCGTTGAGTTCGTCAATCATCTGTCCCTCCACGGAGTAGATGTTGCTCATCGGACCGATGTGAAAGAGAGGCGGTTCTCCTTCCTTGTATGGCCATACACGGAACCTTTTTTCCATCTCAATGTGACTCCTGAACAATGAACATCACACATGGAAAGTATTAATTGAGTAGAAACGATTATGATTTATTTTCATCTGTGACAATAAAAGAGGTTGAAGGCAAAGTGCAAGTACAAAAAGGGAAACGAATTACTTTGGAAAATGGTTTTTCAGAGCCATTTCTTTAATTTGCATATGGACATCCCAGTCTCTAATAAATGGGAATTAAAACTTGACAACCGAAAGCAATTCTCTGTACTTTAATTCCTCAAACATTTAATTCACTGAAAAGATTTCATCCCTTATGCTTGGTTTTGTTCCCAAACTTTAATTATGTTCAAAATCAATACCTAAAATGTAGAATTTAGTAACCAAGTCTCTCACTAGTTGCCATGAAAAAATGTAATCAAACTAAGAAAAGCATAACAGTAAAATAATTTGAAGCAACCAAACTTGAAAATACAATTTAGGTAGGAAAAGTTATTTTAAGATTAGAGTGCGCAATATTTAAAGATTTTTCACTTGTTAATAACTTAATTGGTCCAATGATAATTTTCAAAAATTAAATATATGTCAAGCTTAAAAGGTAAATTTAATTAAGAAATCATTATAAATCTAAAATAATAATAGAATAAAAAATATTCAAGAAAACTTCTACCGTAGCAATTTGAGGAAAATTGTTATATTCAATGTAAGATTAATAATAATAATAATTAAAAAGAGTGAATTAAAGGAGAAAAAATCTAAACTGATGAAAGGCATAAGGGTTTTTGTAAACGGCTCCTCTGGGAACAAAGCTCTCCTCCCGGCTGGATGTGTAACTCCGCCGCCATGATGCCTGCTTTATGGCCGCCCTTGCTCGAGCCAGTCCTTCCTCCATAACCTCAGTATGACTTCTATTTCTTTCCACCATCATCATCTAAAAAACAATTAAAAAAAAAATAAAAACGGAAGATAAGAACAAAAATCTAGCTAGTTAAATGTCTCAAAAATTAGTATTTCTAAAACTAATGTGATTGATTATTTGATTATACATTACTGATATTGACACGGGTTTCATTGACAAAATCTTGGAGAAACGATGTGTTTTTCTGGGAGTGATTGGGAGGAGAGACAGAAGTAAAATGAAGGAAATTGAAGAGGTCATGATGATGATGATTAATGGAGGAGAAAAAGAGGATGAGGAAGATTGAAGGGTAGAGTAAGAAAGGGAGAGTGCAACTGAAGTCTGCCATGGGAGGACTTCAGTGATGCATTTTCACCGGGATATCTAGGGTTTAATATATAAATAAGGAGATAAAAAAGGAAAATAGATTCTGTGATGAAGTTTACTTCAGTTTAAGTAGGGAAATTAATAATATGCAGAGATCTTAGCTAACTGAATCCGATGTCAGCTAGAATTTTGTATCCCTACGCTTCGGAGTTCGCGTTGTACTGTACTTCCCTAGTTCTACTTCTAACCAAAATTTGTTTCCCAACAAATAGTTTTTTTTTTTAATTACTGTCTATTTAAATTTTTTACGCTCTGCTACTTTGATAGACACCAAAAAATTAAAAAATAAAATAAAATAAAATAAAAAAAACTATATGTTTGAACTAACTAATAATATAAAGATAAAAATGCTTACTATATGTAAGAAACTACATTATTTTTAATTATTGATAAAAGGATGAGTTTCTAAATTTTAATAAGAAAAAATCTATCCAATTATTTATGTTTATAAAAAGTGTAGTATGTGAAAGACAATCTATACTTTAGTTTTTGTATATGGATTAAGGAGTTTTCGCTACATTTCCTTGCTCTCCCCGCAGCTCCTTTTCATTTCCCTCAATATTCACAATCCAAACATGTTATAAAAATGATTTATAATCATTGAGAAATTTGGGATAAAAAATCCAATGTGATCGTGCATGGAGGAGGAAGATCGAAATGCAATTATACCGGCTTAGAATTGAAATTTCAGATATGTGGGACTAAGTATCAATTTTTTATTGATGAGCTACACAATGGGATATGTAACACCTTTCTTTCCTATTGCTTTTGGTTGTGACATTAACTCAAATTCAGAATTACGCAACCCCAGGATCCAGGCCTCATGGCTCGTATAGAAGTAAGCTGCAGTCTGCATTGAGCAACAGAGGGAATACTCGTCTTACCCTTGAAGGGAAAATTGAGCGCAGTGATTATTATCCCTTAACAATTCCAAGGTGTCCCAATGATGCCTTTATGTCTTCTTCAGTGTGTCCTTCTGATTGGACGATATTGGGACTATCATAGGATATGACATGTTCTAGAGGGTAGCTTCTGTTAGTATGAAGCTTGCTGGCATTAATTCCAATTCCTTTCAGTATCACAGTTTTATGGACCCCGCCAAGCAAGCCTTCATAGTCTGTGTCCCCACATTCTCCCACAAAAACAACAGCATTTGATAGCTCCATGCCCCACCGGATGTATAAATACCTGAAAATGGATTGTTATGTGATCGTTTTCCATTCATTGAAATATCTTACAATCTAGTGCTAGCGCTAATGGTGAGTAATTGGTGGCACAGTGATGGTAAATATGAGACAATTATAATCGTTTGTGCTGCGCAAACAAATTAACATGCACTTGAATATGTTGGAAGGAGTTAAGAATCCATGACTTCAGAAGAAATGCAAGATTAAAATGACCAGAGAAAGAAAGAAGATTACCTGAGAGCTTGAGCCCGAGAAGCCAATACAGGGATTACATTCAGCTTGGCGCCATTTTGACAATAGATAACATGACATCTAAGAGCCTGAATTCTCATCAATTTTCGGAGCTCCTTCACAGGAGGAAGCTGTGAACATGGGGCATGTATTGAAGATAAGTTTCAGTTGCAAAGGAACCAAAATTGTTGGTTCTGATAGAAGCTGAACAATTTGGAAAACAGGAAGGACGAAAGAATTTTATGGGGGAGGAATAAGAAAGCTCATTCAGAAAAGCTAGTTCTATTTTCTTGTAAGAAGATTATTTCAAAACTAAATAGAATGAAGAAAAGGATAACAAAAAATTTACCAATGCTGAGTCCTTCACTTTGAAAGAATAGCAATATGTAGTTGATCCAGATTTATCTTCAACAATTTGCCCTTCATCCACGTTTTTCTCATTAACTGAAGCAGCCCACCGAACCAAAGTCTTCCGTAAACCTTCTCCACCCCATCGGTATTCAATATGTGATTGATACTCTAAGTCAAGCTCAAAGGGAAGCTCACTAGCCTCAGAGCTTGAAGATGGATAGTACAGCTCACTACCACTATTACAGATAAAAGCATCAAAATCAGATGGGTTTATTTTTGCCAAGGCCATTGCAGAGTGTATATCAGATATTGAAAGGGATGTTGACAGTATGAACCCCACAAAACTGTACTTTCCCGTAATCTCCATGACTATCTTAGTTGTCTCAAGAAAATCTGAGGTTGCATCGCAGTCTACAGCTATTACAAAAATATATTTCCTCCTTTGCAGAGCAGGAAACCTGTTACCAACGCTATTTTGGTCTGCTTTCTCTGTGGAACCAGCCTTTTCCACACCCTCTATAGCACCCTTAGTCAACTTTGAAACAGCACTCTCTAGGCTACTCTTTTGATCAGAAGAGTTTTCTTCAATATCCATCCCTTCATTCTTCTCACCGTCCAGTGAAAACTTCAAATTTAAAGATAAATCCTGTATGTCTCGCAAGGAGTCACCAGGTGAATCTGATCCTGAATTTCCTAATCCAACATCAATCCTCTGCCACTGAGGTTGCCTTGGTTTGCAAATGGCTATCCGAGACAAGTATGTCTTACAGTGCTCCGGCCATGAGAATAGGTGAATATTTTTCAGTCCATTTTGCCGGCATCTTGTCCACAGTTGCTTATCTGAAACAAGTTTGAGAAGAGCATCAGCAATGCACTGCTGATCATGGGGGTCAACTAGTAGGCCATTGTCAAGAACCTGCAACAAATTCATGGTCAGTAACTCAGTATTGTAAGCTATCATGAGACTTCAACTTGCTAGAGATGAGAAAATCTAAGTAAGAAGCAGATTCTGATGAGTGACAAGTACCCTATGAATGTCAACAGGACCCCCATTTTTTGTGGCAACGATAGGTAAACCATGTGCTGCAGCCTGTTCACAAAACAACTAGTGTTCAATTATCTAGAATTTTAAGTCATCTTAAAAAAAAAAAAGAGTAGAAATGGATGAGCACCTCTATTAAAGTTAGCCCAAATGGCTCAATGAAAGCTGGATTTATGAAAACACCCTATAAAAGGGAGGAAACACAATGGAAATAAGAAGAAGAATCAATGAGAAGCCCAAAACTCATATAATGGGACATTACTTCTTATAGAGAAAGGGTTAAAAGCAAGTGTACCTTTGTTTTTGCTGCAAGACGGTAAATGTCAGGAACCTCAGACTGCTTGTGGTGTTTAGGATATGCCACTAGACCATAGAGATCGTATTTGTCTATCAGCTTAAGTATTGAGAGAAGCACAGCTGCATTTGTACTAGACATTTCATCAATATCGTCACGGTTCCCCATTATTAATGTCTGCAAAATAGTAGTCATAATTCAAATACCGAATAGAAGAATAGGAATGCCATTTTAATGAATCACCAAGACCAAATAAGACTGGGCATCTGCAGCTCATAGAAATAGACATACGAGATTAGCCAGCTCTCTTAGTGGACGGCATTCTCCAAATGCTTTGACTAAAGTCGTAAGATTCTTTTTAGGATCTGGCCGAGCAAGAGCCAGTATCATAGGTTTCCGTGGATTGGAAAAAAAGTTCATTATCTGCAAATTCAAGGTGCCAAGTTTAGCCTCATCATCAATTGCTACTCAGTTGACAACTTGTTCCTAACATATTATCAGGAGTACAGCAATAAAAATGAGGGGTCGGAAAAGTAGGTAGTAAGGAAATTTTACACGCCAAAGTTTCAAGAGAAAAGAATAGTTTTAACCTCAGACCAAATAGGTGGGTCAGGAGAAGAGGGATTATTATCAAATTTTTCTGGATTGCCATCCGCATCCCCATCATGTGGAACAATATGATGAAACTCCATTCCAGGAGGAATTACCTGTATGAAATCTTGAACCTTTTAAGATGGACAGAGCAGCAGAGTAATGGGATAAAATAGAGATAAAATTAAAATAAGGGCATTGAGAAACAGAATTTGTTCACAATCATGAAAGAAGCCTCATAACTTGAATTAAGAATCGAGGAATGATATTTTTTATACTTACAACCATGCGAGGCATAAACCTCCCATGACAGCTGACACCCCTTTTGATCCTTGCTCTCAATTTGCGCTCTAATACCGGATCAAAGCCTTCATAAAGGCGCCATTGCTCTTCTATTTCCTGTCTAGTGCTAGTTATAACAATTTCAGAGGCATCAAGACATAACTCCTCAGCCTCTATCCGTCGCATTATTTTGTAAGTCGAATTTATTTCTTCCCTTGATTGCCGTCCTTGTTTCAAGAGTTGTTCAAGCTTATTTCGCCCAAGTGAATGGCCAGTAAAAAGCATTGGCACATTGAGAGCACCAGATAGAAGAGCAGCAGAGTCACCAGCATCTGCATAATGTCCATGAATAGCAACAGGCCAGACCGGTTGCCCTCCACCAATTTGCTCACCCAGAACTTTGGACATCTGTATAATGTGGCTTAGTGCACCATCAACAAATTCAGGAATATGTGGCCAGAGTAGTTCTTTAGGTATATATTTATCTTTTGGGCCAAAGGGTATACGGATTATATAAGAACCACAGCTCTCACCTAGCTCCTTCATACATTCCTCCACATTCATTGGATTTAGCATCTCAGTTGGTTCAGCATAACTCCAGTCGACATCTGGAGCTGAGACTTGCCTTGTCAGCAAATCAACCCGATAAACTCCAGGCATATTGCCCAAGGCCCTAGCAAGTTCCACCACATACTTAACCTGTTTACAACAAAATTACCTATAACAATGGGTTATATACTCTTTGCAATCAATGTCTATGTATAAAATTGACCTTTTAGATCAAAAAACCATTTGGCAAGCCAAAGAAGTACGGAGAAGGCTACCTGGCCACCAGTATCAGAGTCACGACCAAGCTCCATGTTTTCACCCCTTAAAAGGCCATGAAGACTGCAAGAACACTGCTAATCAGGAAAAACTCATTTTCATCACAATAGAAATCATAAGCTGCATATTCAAAAATCAAAATTAAAATTGATTCAGATTATAGACACAGATCTTGTTCAAAATAAGCCTCCAAGTAATGATAATAAAATGGCAGGTCATTTAAAATTGCAGTTTATACCTTATCAAGACAATATACCACTTCTTATCTTTCTGCTGATTAGCCCAGTTCTCCATCACATCAGCAGAACTAATTCGAGGCATTGTTCCTTTAATGCTGTCACCATGAGTTTGAACATCACTAGGCAAGTCTGCTTTCTCTCCTTCTGATAGATCTTCTGACATGTCAGCAGTTGCTTCCCTGCGCCCTCTTTCATGTTCAAGTCTACGTTTAGCATTGCGTTGGGCTTCCTCTCCCTCAAGCTGAAAATGAGACCGAGTTGAGATGGTGGATAAGGGACACAGAAAGAGGGGCAAATAAAAAAAGGAAAATGAGTATTCTAATGCACATAGTGACAAATTGTAACAGTTAATTACATAAAGCTCAAGCCATTGAGCATGGCTAAGATAAGACCTATAAACAATGGAAAAATCTGTGAAAGTAATATTGACATCTTAATACAGGCTGTTCAATCTACAGTTTATAAAACAATCCCACCGTTGAAGTATCTTTACTCTTTAGTACAATGAAACACCGTACAAAAGCTTGTGGGCTCTTAGAAAGTTAAGCCTGATCAGCACATTTATATGTTTCTACAAGTTTTTTTTCTTTTTTTTCTATGTGAGGAAGAAGATAAGTCCATGTTCAGTGATGAATTAGTTTTTTTTTTTTTTTTTTTCTATATGCGGAAGAAGATAAGTCCATGTTCAGTGATGAATTAGAAATATAATGAGCATTCTAACACTCTTCTGTGCTATTGAGAAATTTTATTTAGCACATTTCTGTACTATTTTACAAACAATTACACTAGTTAGTATTAGTTTTCCACGACCAAAAAAAGAAAAAGAAAAATATCATCCACTTGGAATACTTCAATTGAGAATTTCCAGTACAGAAAACAACATAATATACAAAGATGAGAAAAGAAAAATCTCATCCAACATAATATATGAGAATCCTATTTTGTAATTCGGATTACAAAACAGGAATATTCCAACAAGGACCCCCTCATTTAATACCGTCCGCACACAACAGTCTTTTTTTATATACATAATGAGAATGGTGTTTTTCAATCTACACTGGGACCAAAATATCCTAAATGAATCTTATTCGGTAAAGATGTTTAAATACTTTCACAGCCTGGACTACATGTACTTCGGACTGAACAAATCCTTTTGTGATAAGTGAGAAAGAATTTCTTGTGATCTAAAACAATAAGTGCGGTGCTATAAGAATAATTTTGTTATTTTATCTTTTGACACAATTTTTATATGTAATTAAATGAGTAAATATATTCAATATCATAAATTTTATATGAATTAAAAAAAATAATAATTTAAATGATACGATTCAATTGTTAAAAAAAAAGTGCAAAAGAATTTTCCCAAAATCATTTCCCAAAACAATAACATCCATGTTAATAAACATCACACACAAAGCACATCCTGCTCTACCAATAATGCATGTAAATGAGGAATAAAAAAAAAAAAGCAGGAAAATAATTTTCTTTTCGAAAAAGAAAAGCATAAATGCAAAAACCTGCTTCTTCTTGCGAGCCAAATTCCAAATCCTCCAACACATATTCTCCAATCTCGTATTTCTCTCCTGCGGACTCTTTGTTGCCGCCGCCTAAACAATAAACACATAATTCATATATACTCTAAATAAACACAGAACCAAATCAAAATCCAATAACGAATTGATTGAGAAATAGAACCAGTAACAGTAATAGAACATCGTACTCGAACCCAGGAGCGATGTAGATCGCTCTCATCGAAGCCAGTGATGACCTCCTCCACGAAGTAGCGAGTAGGACTGAAATGTCCCCTTTCTCGGAGTAACAACGACGACTTCTTCTTCGCATCACTGATTCCTTGACCGCCGACATCTAGTATCGCTTCCAAGTAACTGTTTAGCCAGTCGTTTCCCGCCATCTGCCTTTTTCTCGCTTCCTTTACAACTTCAGAGGATATCACAAAACTAAAAGCAGAATTAAAAAAAAAAAGCTTGGTTTGGTTGAATCAAAATACGTAGAAGTTGAAAATATGAATAAATTTAGAGGATATATGAATTTCGAAACGAGATCAAGCGGTAAAGTTCAGGGAGAAGGTTATATATGTTGCTGTCTTTCTGGTATTTTTCTTTAGAACTTGGCCATGGCGAGAGCGGGATGAAGCTGATGGGAGAGGCAACTTTTTATTTCATGTAAAAGGAAACACGTGGCACTAAGAAAAAAGGTTTTTGGGTCCACCATCATCATCAAAATAAAAATAAATAAATCTTAAGGAATTTTCTTTTTTTTTTTTTACAAAACTAATGGTTAATAATTAAATTAGTTAATTGTTAGAAACGAGATATTTGATTTTCAAATGAGAGTGAATGCCATCACTTCCTTATTGAAGGTGCGACCCAATCAGTGAGCCGCATGGTGGAGTTCAATGAATTTTCATTAAGTTGATGACAATTGAAGATAAATTTTTTTATATATAATTTTTATATATTATTTAATATTTTTTATGTTATTAAATTCTATAATATTGGATATATTATTTTTTTTTAACAGATTATCAAGAGAGAAGCTCGAAATCCACCCATAAAGAAGGGGGAATACACCTCAAACTCGCAAAATGCCAGTTGACCTGAAGGGCCAGATGCAATATTGGATATATTAATTTATTTCATAATATATGATAATGATAAATAAAAGCATATTATAAAAATTCTCAAAATATTATTATTTTATAATAATATTATAAGTTTAATTAAAAAATAAAATTTTAAACTAACTGAATTATAATATTATATAGCATCACATACCAAAAGGTTTGACAAAAAATTTACAACTTAAATAATTTAATGATTTTTTTTTATTAAAATAAAAAAATTTTAAATTCACGTTTAATAGAAAGATCAAAAGACTATTTAATTGAGTTAAACCGAAAATGATCTAAATTTAATTCCTAAATTAAAAAAAGTCAACCTATTAGAATTGGAATGCTAGAAGGATGGATTTTACAATAAATTTCGAAGCAGTTCATTGGCTCGTTCTGTTTCATAATTAACTGTCATTTAAGAAAAAAAAAAAAAAGGTTAAAACCCCTTTTTGGTCCCTGAACTATTGTACGAACCCTCGATTTGGTCCCTAAAC